AGTAATCCTATGTGACCATTTGTTATACCAGTAGTACTGGAAAATCTAACAAGCAAATTGAGGGGTCAGTATGGAGCATTAATCAACACTGGATGTACTAGATGTTTAATTAGTAAAAAAGTGGTTCATGAATTACAGTTAGCAGTGGAAGAACTGCCCAAACCTATGCATTTTGAACAAGTGGACGATTCATTATTAGGTGGGAGTCCTGCTACAATAAAGACAACCCCTATCAAACTAGAGATAAGGAGTCATTGGGAGTCTTTACGATTTATTGTAGTACAGATGAGGGAGGCACTAATTTTAGGTCTAGTATGGTTAGACAAATGGAAGCCCACAATATGGTGGGAAGACAGTTTTAGGAAGTTACGAATTGCAGTTGGTCCTATGTCCCCTCCATATGTAAATAATAGGGAAGTTGTAACAGCTATAGACAATTCTGAAGAACTACGTTATCCAGAGGAATATAAAGACCTGGCAGATGTGTTTAGTGAAAAGGAGTGTGAAACATTACCACCACACAGAAAAACTGATTGCGCCATTGATTTAATTCCCGGAGCAAAGTTTCCAAAACCAAGAATGTATGCCATGACTCCAAAAGAGATGGAGGAAATGAGACAATATATAGATAAAAATTTGGCACGTGGATTTATTCAACCTGGGAAATCACATATAGCTGCCCCTGTTTTATTTTGTGAGAAAAAAGATGGTGGATTACGTCTTTGTGTTGATTTCCGTGGGCTCAACGCTATTTGTATAGACAATGTATATCCTTTACCACTAATCAACTATTTGTTAGCAACCTTAGCGACTGGCAGGTATTTTATGAAATTGGACTTACGAGAAACCTACTATCAAGTTCGAATATGAGAAGGGGATCAATGGAAAACTACTTTTAATTGCCCCCTTGGAAGTTTTCAGTTTAACATTATGCCATTTGGGTTGCAAGGGGCACCCACTGTCTTCATGCAACTTATAAATGAAGTATTACAGGAACATTTATATCGTGGCATTCTAGTATATTTAGGTGATATTTTAATTTATACCAGAACAATGTAGGAACATGTGGCCTTAGTGAGGAAAATTCTGAAAAAATTATTTGACGCCAAGTTATATGTGAAACTTTCGAAGTGCGAGTTTCACTGTACGTCGTTGGATTATTTGGGGTACAGAATATCCAATAAAGGAATAGAAATGGATCCCAATAAAGTCAGAGCCATAGTTCATTGGAAAGAACCAAAAACACGAAAGCAATTACAAAGTTTTTTAGGATTTGCAAACTTTTACCAGTGGTTTATTCCTAAATTCTCACAAATTGTTTTACCGCTAACAGAATTGTTAAAAACTAAACATCAAGTGCCAAAACCCAGACCTACCGTGTTTCTCACATAATAAGGCCGGGCCTTTTTTTTTTTTTGAGCCCCGAAAAAACGGCTAGGCCGTCTTTTCGGGGGGTGACTTAATTCCTCCCCTTGCATCCTTGCCACAGCCGCTCCTAACGGGTGATCATGGCGAAGCGCAGAGAGCTCCCTACTCCCACCAAACACCTTTGCTGCAGACACCTTTGGCACCCGCCGCTGTTGCTTTCCCTTCTGCCCATTCTGCTGCCATGTTTGGAGTTGCCGCTTCCGTGTTTGGAGTGCCGCCGCCATTTGGAGCTCCAAACACGGAAGTGGCAGCTCCAAACATGACGGCAGGCGATCTTTTTATTTTGGTCCGCGCGAAGTTCAGAGCGAGCAAGAGAGGGAGACTGCGATGCCTCCATCCGAGATGGCAACCTCACTAGTGGATCACAATGTGGCTGGAAGCCCGAATCGGCGGGATACGATGGCAATCTTTTTGGAGCGAGAGGAAAGGGAGAGAAGAGTTGCGAGGCGTAATTTTCAGGAGGAAGTGGGTGTACCCCACGGCAGGGAGCCCAAGGAAGAAGGGCCGGTAGGCAACGGAGAGCGTCCCTTAGCTCCGGAAGCAGCCTAGAGACGCGCCCGGGAAGAGGGGCAGATGCTGCCTTGTAGTCCCCAAACCAACTGCATGCGCCGCCTTTAGTTATGTGCGCTCCGCTCTCTGGGCATCTCCGTGTGATTGTGACCCTGTCCTTTCCACCTGGCGCCCTTGCTGCTTTCTGGCTCTTTAGCGACCAGCTTCGCGTTTGGAGCACGTTCGCGTTTGGAGTTGGTTTGGGGACTACAAGCTCACTTTATACCATGTAAAGGATTACCTTTGGCAACAAAATTAGCCAACCTGTTTATAAAACATGTACATAGACTACATGGCACACCTAGGAGGATAATTTCGGATAGAGGTGTGCAATTCACAGCACAATTTTGGAGAGTGTTTGTATGCCTTTTAGGGTGCTCTTAGCTCTGCATACCATCCCTAAGGTCTTAGCTCTACATACCATCCCTAAGGTCTTAGCTCTGCATACCATCCCAGCAACAATGGTGCTTCTGAAAGAGCTAATGCAATGATTGAAAGGTATTTGAGATCATATACATCTTACCAACAGCAAGAATGGGCTGATTTATTTCCATTTGCTGAAGTAGCATATAATAATGCTATACATGAAAGCACAGGATATAGCCATTCCAGGTAGTAAATGGGATAGAATTTGTGCCAATCCCTGATTTACAATGTGATGAACAACAACCCATAAGTGTCCAAATGTGGTCAAAAAAAGTTCAGGATAGTTGGGATAAAGTAAAAGAGACTCTCAATAAAATAGCACTAGAATATAAATAACAAGCAGAAAAGAAAAGAAAAGAGTATAAAGCATTCAAACCTGGAGACTATGTTTACCTATCAACTAAATATATAAAATTACACCTAAATAGTTTTTGTGTTATCAAATACTGAAGCGAAGAGTGTCTTATTTTCTCCTGCATTTGTGCCAAAGAGTAGCTGAGACCATGCCTTGATGTGAGTGATGTTGAGTTGGCCAGACCCAGCCAGTCACATGACCACCAAGCCACACCCACAGAACCGGTTGTTAAAAAATTTGAATCCCACCCCTGCTTAGAAGCAGTTTCTTGCTATTAAAAACAATCACCTTAAAACCAGTTTTGTTATTATCAGAATAAATACAGATCGAACATTAAGGCAGGCACATCTTAGAGCAGGGGTCCCTGACCCCTGCTGCAAATGAAGCAGTACATACCATTCCCTCTCCTTCCTCCCCCCGCAAAGCTGGAAAGGTTGGGGATCACTGCAGGAGTGGGATTCTACCAGTTCTTACCGGTTCTATAGAACCCCTTGTTAACTTTCTAAGCAGTTTGAAGAACTGGTAGTTAGAAGAAATCTTTTGTTTTTTCCATTACGTTCTTGGCAGTATGCCTAGATTTATTGTCACTGAAGGAGGTTTTTTTCCCTTGATATTTTCTTAAAGGGGAAGGGTTGTTTTAAGCTTTTTACACTGCTGTTGGGAGGAAATACTCCTCTGGAAATACTTCTTCTTGGCTAGCTAGAAGGATTGACATTCAAACGTGAGTTTACATACCCTTTCTGAGTTTTGGTCTAAAACTGTTTTTTTGGTGAAGTTTAACTCTGTGCTTGGTGATGTTTAATCCTGTGTTTATTGATGGGATAATTTTCCCTATTCAGCTTTATTTGGAAGAAAAAAGATTAATCTCTGTTCCTGAAAAGAAACTGGTTTGAGAAATCTGCTAGTTCCTGTGTCTATTTGTTCTGGTAATTGGTTTAACAAGCAATAGCTACTGTTGTGATTTAATTATTTGTATTGTGTTTGAATTTTTTCCTGCATCATGGTTTCTTTTTCTATCTGGGGAGGGAGTCTTCCTTCACTGCTTTAGTGGCATCTGGCACTGTCCTTTTGGGGTGTACTTCCAAGAGGCAGGATGCAAGCTTGGCACTGATTTTTTTTACTGACTTCTGGGGGGCATGTGACCTTTCCTTAAATCTGGATGGTTTCCTTAGGATATCTTGTGAGGTGAGTGAGACCAGCTGGTGTCTTTAAGTGGTACAAATGGATCTAAAGATTGCTTTTCCCCATGTGCTCTTTCTGGAGAGTGTAAACGACCTCTCAGCTAATGGGTTTCACTTTATGAGCAAAAGTTGGCTGCTGATAGTTATCATTGCATTTTAATTATTTTAATTACTCAAGGTACTCTGGCACCCTGCCTGATTTGTAACTCTGGCTTGCAGGTATTTTTAATCTAATGATTGGTGTTTAGGACAGCTTTATGCAAGGAAAGAAGCTTTTTGTATTTTTGTACAGGTAATCCTTGACTTACAACAGTTCATTTAGTGACCATTCAAAGTTACAATGGCATTGAAAAAAGTGACTTATGGCCATTTTTCACACTTATGACCGTTGCAGCATCCCCACTGTCATGAGAGGCCAGGCGAGGAGAAGCGCCACTTGACGTGAGTGATGTTGAATTGGCCACACCCACCCAGTCACATGACCACCAAGCCACACCCACCAACTAAGCCACGCCCCACAGAACCGGTTGTTAAAAAATTTGAATCCCACCCATGGATCACTGTCTTAAAACAACTGCAGACAGCTGTATCACTGATGATAAATTCTGTGCACACCTTTCTTCTCTCTCTTCTCAACACACCAATATGAATTTTCCCTTAATTACTTTGATTTAGTAAACTGATCCAAATTCCTATTTCTATATCCATAATTCTTGTTTTGTAATATTCTTGGGCTGAGTGGTCCACAGGATGAAGGCTAATTTTATAGGCAGTCATGTTAACTAAAACAACTGAAAATCTGAAGTGATGATAATGCACTACTATGAAGCATAAATATACTTTGGTGCCAGTCTCCAGTGTTTAAATACAAGGAATAATAGTTTTTTCAAAGTAATGGACTGTACACCAACATTACAAATTTGCAGAATTTTCTTTGTACATTTTCAGACTTTAAATATATACCATATTGCCTCTTTACAAAAATATCATTTGGTTGCAAATAAAATATAAACTAAATACAATAAAGGAATTTTTCATTTGTATTTTTTTTTATATCACAGGGGTATTATTTTTTTTGAAGATAGAGCCTACATTTTGGAGCCACTGGAAGGTGCTATGAGTGAACATATAATCTATAGACTAAAACACCCAAACCTAATCCTGGGTACATGTGGCCATCATCTCAATCTTACAGGCGTCACTTTGCGGGATACTGCACAGTTTATTGCACAGACATTTACTAGCAGAGTAAGTGACAATTTAATTTAATTTTTTCATGTTTTAGTTGATTTAATTTAGTTTTCTCACATTTTTATAGTATATATTCAGACAAATGTGGTGTTATGGCTCAAAATTGAGGTGCCAGCTGATAAAAGTATATGTGTTTGTCTGTTTGTTTGTAGAACTCCCAGGGAGAAAAACAGCCTCCCACCAACAATGCAGTGCAAGTTACTGTATATAAAGAGGGAGTAAACCCCACACCAGGACTGATGATATTATGTAGTTGGGTAATGAGATGTTTGCTAACAGACAACCAAGCTCAGAGAGCACCAAGGTCTTCATATTTAGATTACCACACTCATAATAATAGAAGATCAGATCCATAACTTACAAAAATAAAAGCTTACCTGCTGTGTATTTTGGAGTGATGTTCTTGAAAGTAACTACTTTTTGTAAGTGATTAATAATGATGAATGGACTGTTGTCTTTTAGCCAAGCATAGTGTCTCTTCTAAAATACTTGCTAAAAATTCCAAGTTCAGTATGTCAGATTGAGATGATTTGGAAATCACAGCTTTAGAACAAGAAATCAAAATTGGACTGCTCTATTTATTTGTAGGAATTGCAATAGGAATAATTTTTAACATGCACCACACTAAACACTATTTAATTTGATACAATAAAAGCTTTAAGTGATACATAATACATACTGTTGAAAGTTCCTTTAATTTTTTTAATTGCTAGAAAATGGATCGTTCCTCTTTTTTGAGCAACAAATGCCCATAAATCTTCAGCTAAGAAATTGATTATGCCACAGTAAGCAGCAAATAAGTGAGGACCTCTACACAAATAAAGCATGCAAATAAAAAAGAACCAGGAAAAATAAATGTTTTTTAAAACGCAAAGAAAAAGAATCAGAATATATAATATTCCCCATTGTAACTATGTGCATATATCTTAAAATAATTTTATATTTATAATTTCATATAAATTTATGTTAATATATATTTCACATTTTGGGAGTTGTTTAAGGCATGTACTTGTAAATGTATCACTTTTATTCATGAAAATATATCTGAATACAACAAGTGTATAAACAACTACACTGCTTTGTAAAGTAGGTGCTATTTGCATAGGTGGCGCAGTGGTTAGAATGCAGTACTGCAGGCTACTTCTGCTGACTGCCAGCTATCAGCAGTTCAGTAGTTCAATTCTCACTGACTCAAGGTTGACTCAGCCTTCCATCCTTCCAAGGTCAGTAAAATGAGCACCCAGATTTTTGGGTGCAATATGCTGACTCTGTAAACTGCTTAGAAAAGGCTGTAAAGCACTGTGAAGCAGTATATAAGCCTAAATGCTGTTGCTATTGCTATACATTGAGGTATAAGAGTGGTAGAATTCATGGAAATGTCCCATGTTTAGAGTATGATATGGCTGATGTGGTTGTTATAGCAGCTTTTATAGTATAGAATGATCTATAGGTGATATGTTAATTTTGAAAAGTATCAAATTTTATACAACACTGAAGTATAAGTGAGTAATATATCCAGAATATGATATTTGAAATAACCTTGGTGCTTATTAAAGCTAAGGAAATTTTGATTTTCCTTGTACCTGGATGCCCAATCCGCCTTCAAAATGATTGGTTATTTTTTTTTATCAATAAATTATTTGTAATATTTAAGTTGCTTGGTAATACAGCACTGTGGTGGAAAGATATACGTGGAAATGTAGATCTTCTTAACACAATAACAGCTCTTATCTCATGCTTGTTTTGATAGCACAAAAGAGAAACTCTAAAATCCACCAAGTATGTAGAGCTCGTTATTGTGGCTGATAATCGTGAGGTAAGCAAAACTTGAAATTAAAAAAGATTGTGGGTATAAAAACATACACCGGGGGTGTCAAGCTCATGTCATCATGGTGGTGTGACGTGACGTATCACAACTTTTTTCCTTTTCGCTAAACCAGGCATGGATGTGGCCAGCGCGTAATACATCCAGTTTGCAGGCCATGAGTTTAAACCCCTGACATACATGTATTTATAAATTAATGGAATAACATTAATCCTATTCTGAATTTTCCACACAATGTTAAAGTAATAATCTGTCCCATTTGGACATTTAAATCTTTGTTGCATTGCCTAACTTTGAATCAGAGGGAATGGTAATTCTTGTGCAAATAAGAAAACCTTTATGGTATTGGTTTCTTTAGATCAGGGGTGTCAGACACAAGGCCCATGGGCCATATGCAGGCCTTGATGTGGTCGGATCCGGCCCTCAGGGCCGTCCTGGAAAATGTAAGGGGCCATTCTGTGTCACTTCGACCCGGTCTACCCAATGCAAAAAGGAAACATTGGGCCAGCATGGCTTCAGCCCAGTCTACCCAATGCAAAGAGGAAATATCAGGCCAGCATGGCTTCGGCCTGGTCTACCAATGCAAAGAGAACACATTGGGCCAGCATGGCTTCAGCCCAGTCTACCCAATGCGAAGAGGAAATATCAGGCCAGCATGGCTTCGGCCCAGTCTACCCAATGTGAAGAGGAAATATCAGGCCAGCATGGCTTCGGCCTGGTCTACCCAATGTGAAGAGGAAATATCAGGCCAGCATGGCTTCGGCCTGGTCTACCCAATGCAAAGAGAAAGCATTGGGCCAGCATGGCTTCGGACCAGTCTACCCAATGCGAAGGGGAAACATGCCAGCAGTTTGGGAAGTGGTGTCAAGCTGACCACACCCACCCAGTCAGCCATGTCCACTGAGTAGACTACACACAGTGAGTGGCATCAAGCTGGCCATGCTCACCCAGTCAGCCATGCCCAGCTGGCCCCCCAAGGTCAACCACAGCCCTGATGTGGCCTCAATGAAATTGAGATTGACACACCTGCTTTAGATATAGCTTACCAATTACAAGTTACATTCAAGGATGCATAAATTGTTAACGTTTTGCTAAATAAATTCACAATAGATGGATGACACACTTCATAAAAATTAGTGGAAGCTGTGAATTGTAATCAGATTTTTTTAAAAAAAATGAATTATATCCTCATTTGCATTTTTCTACATTTAAAAAGTACTGATTAGTTAAATAGCAATATTTTCTCCCTGTCCATCCATGGCAAACAACTAAATATTTTTTCCCCTTTTGTACAGCATGAAGTGTCCCAATGAAACAATTGTGTGAGAAGCAGAATTAAAAGCAACATTTTCTTTAAATTTGAAAAACTATATTCTTTCACCCAGTCGGTTCTTCTTTCAATTATATAAGAATTCTACTTTATAAGCAGTAGAAAGTTGCCTCTGGCCTTTTTTCCATGTAAAATCACACTGGTGTTATTGCTTTTCTGAAAGTTAGCTTTATAAAGTTAGCTTTATAGAGCAATAAATATAATTGTTGATAATTCAAATGATTAAAAATCCTTTCTAGTTTCAGAGACAAGGCAAGGATGTGGAAAAAGTGAAACTGAGACTGATAGAAATTGCAAACTACGTTGATAGAGTAAGTTTTTCATTGGTGCTATAATAATTTCCTTGCCATAGAGCAGTCTGCTTGACTAACCAGTTGAGTCTAATCTTACAGTCAGGTCATCCCAAAGGTGCTTTTTCAGGAGATACCTGGACTTTCTTATTTTTCTTTGAAGATGTTTTTGCTTCTCATCCAAATTAACCTATACTATATAATCTATTTCATGGCCGTACTAGATTCAGACTACACAGACTCATCCCTAACAGTCTGTGCCTGTGTTCAACAGTGAAGGGACACGGCAGAAAACATCCTGCACAAAGCACAGCTCCACAACACAATCCTTTCAGCAGTTCCAAGAAGGCTCCCACACCCATTTGCACTAATCAGGTGATCCTGAGGACACAGATAAACCTCCAAGTGGCCTCAACGACTGTCTAAAAGGATGCATCATGCAAATGACCAGCTGTCTGCAAGGAATATAAATCCTTCCATTCCCCATCATCCAGTTAGAGCTGAAGAAACTTCTTGGATGAGAAGCGAAATGTCTTCAAAGAAAAACCAGAAAGTCCAGTTGCCTCTATATTTGGGACAACCATGACCTGGACAATTGAGAATCTTCATATATATTTACAATCAGGTCATATTAATACACTTGTTTATAGAAAATCTGTATTATATAAGAATACAAAAGCATGATAATTGCTGGACCAGATCATGACCTATCTGGGTACTCCAAGAAGGAGATGCAGATTCTTCTACTATTTCTGCTGCTCTTTCCCTGCAAGTGTTATTTAGATGCATACTTCAGCCAGCTCAGAGGTAGTAGTAGTAGTAGTAGTAGTAGTAGTAGTAGTAGTAGTAGTAGTACCCTGTTTCTCCAACAATACGGCCTCCCCCAATAGGAAGTCCCAGCATGTTTTATAGGCATGAAATGAAATTAAGCCCCTCCCCCAAATTAAGGCCTATATTAAAACATGCGAAATGGAGGGGAAATGGCTTGCTGTTAGGAAGTACTTTTGTTGCACACCCGGATATGGTGCTGTCTGCGTTGACCCTGATACAAAGTGCCCCACCAACGCCGAGGTCAACATCCAAGCCATCGCTGCCCGCCTGCCCGAAGATGCAAGGGGGGGAGTTAAGTCACCTCCAAAAAGACAGCCTAGCCATTTTTTCGGGGCTCAAAAAAAAATAAGACCCGGCCTTATTATATGAGAAACACGGTAGTAGTAGTAGTAGTAATTTATGACACACTTGACATAATTTCAAGGTGTTCCCTTGTATGTGTGCTATTTTAAAATGCTGTGAATCGATTGTTGTCTCTTATAATGTAGCAATCATCTGTGTAATTTGACACATATGCTGACACACAGCTCTTAATCAAATAGTACATTCTTGTACGCCATCAAATATTTTAGAAGGCATCATTTTTACTGACCGAGACAAGAAACTGTGTAGGAAGTTGTCCAATGAATTATTTAAAATGTCTTTATATAATTTATACATCAATAATTTGTCTCTTTTATTAACATTAGGAGTTACGCAAATATACCTCCAGAATATTGATCTGGTTTTCTCATCAGTTCTACAGGCCATTAAATATTAGAATAGCCTTGGTTGGATTAGAAGTCTGGAATGATGTGGATAAGTGTACAGTAACTCAAGATCCTTTCACCACTCTTCACGAGTTTCTTGATTGGCGAAAGATGAAACTACTACCTCGTAAACCACATGATAATGCACAACTAGTCAGGTAAGCCTACCAAAACCAAAACTGGAACTTAAAATTTTAGATACATTATGTTGCTAGTGATATGACAAAAAGGAAATTGGTGAATAGAAAGCCAATGCATAGGCTATATATTGATAGAATCCTATACAGGATTCTAGAGGAATGACAATAATATAGAAAATCCTACATCCATATCACATCTCTATTAGTAAAATCCAAAATTAAGTTCTATATAACTGTTGTCCTTGTATTCATTATGTTTAACATAGTTTCTTGTCTTCCATTAGTGGAATCTATTTCCAAGGTACCACCATTGGCATGGCGCCTATAATGAGCATGTGCACCAAAGAGCAATCTGGAGGTATTGTTATGGTAAGTACTACAGGTACCAAGATTGATCCTCTATATGGTTGGAAAGAAATAAGCAGGGACAAAATAAAATACTCCTGTTCCATTTTCAAAATCTCTGCCTAATTTTTTTCCCAATTTTTTGCAGCTATTTGAATTTACAAATGATTGAATAGATGCTTCCATTGTAGCATTTTATTTGTACTTTTTACAAAAATGTTCTACCAAAACCAAAACAGCCACATAAATTGAAACTGTGCTATCTGTGTTTAATACGAAAGCCTTCCCAAAATATTTTTGAGACATGCTAAATTTATGTTGTGGTTCGCCAACAGCCAGTGCAGATGGCATCAAAATCGGACAGTGGGGAAGAACGGGGACCAGTCAGGGAGTCTTGAAAGGACTCAGATGAGGGTCCTGCATCTGATGCAGAGATGGGGCCAGGACCATCTGGGAGTGGGGTGCTGCCCCGGAGCCTTCGGAGTCTGGCAGCAGTGAGGCAGAAGACCCAGGGGAGCCTGTTCCCAGTGTGTCCATGCGCAGAGCTGCTAGAAGGCAAGAGCATTTGAAACAAAAGGGATGACTCAGGAGTAAGGCTGCGAGGTGATTGCCCCTCCCATAAGGCATAAAAGTCAGGCAAAGATGACAAAACCTTTGCAGGAAGCAAAGTCGTTCATTCGGTTCAGATTCATTGTTGAAGCTCTTTGTACTTCGGTTGTTGTTGTTTTTTGGTTCATTTGATACTTCTGTAATTGGCAGCACTTCACAGAAAAGAAAGGACTGTTTGAGATTAATTCTGGCTGGGAATTAAAAAATAATTCCCAGTGTTGCAATAAAATAAGTCTTGTTTTTAAAATAAGTGTGTGCATGGTTACGGTCTAGGAAGGCTTGGTCAGAACAATTTGCTGTTGTCCAGAGAGATGTAACAGACAACTTTTTAAGATAATTGCTTATTTTTTCCAATTCCCAATAATAAGCTTTTGTTATACTGACAGGTGACAAAGTACAATATGCTATCATAACTTTGAAAAAGCTTTCATATTAACTGTATTTTTGGTAGAAAATATTTTAATGTTGTTTTTGTAGCCTTTCCAATGTATATGTATGAATGAAAATGATAGACTTCGCTTCTATTAAATACAGTGTAGCCATGGATTTCAAAGAATTATCCTTCAGATATCAGCTGTTCTTTACCTGAAGATTTTGATTTATGTTAAAAATAACAGTAATGTCACAATATTTTTGTTTTCAGGCATAAATTAAAAATAAAATGCATGGTTTAAAGTATAAGTCCGGAAAGAATACCAAAGGAAGATTGAAGGATTCCACTAAGTGTAATTTAATAGATCTCCACAGGAACAGACAATGTTGAAATTGCTCAGTTAAGCCTCTAAATGTTGATGGGAAGTTGATTCTTCAGCAAACTCTTATTTCTGAGAATTCCCTGTTAAATCCTGAAGCAGCATCGAGGAAGTGCTTCATTTAAGCCTTTACTGAAGTAAAATATTCTCTTGAAGACTTGCCCTGCCCTGCCAGAAACGGATAACTTCCCTTCTAACTGGGTAAAGGCATCCTTTGTCTTCATCCCTTCTTATTAAGAATACCAACAGTGTGCCGTTTAAATCAAGCATTTGTAATGTTCCCCAGTGAGCATAAAGTAAATTTATTTAAATATAAAACAATGCAAATTACTTGCTGGCTGAAGAGAGGCAACAGTACTAATATTTCTGTACCAAGTTACTGGTAGCTTCTGTACCAAGATACTGATATATCTGTATCAAGTTTTCAGTAATTTCCTCTTTTTTGAGCAACAAATGCCTATAAATCTTCAGCTAAGAAATCGGTTATGACACAGTAAGCAGCAAATAAGTGAGGAGTTCTATACAAATAAAGCACACAAATAAAAAAAAGAACCAGGAAAAATAAATGTTTTTCAAAACCCAAAGAAAAAGCATCATATCAGTATTAATTCCATGTCTTGTATGGTTAAAATTCTTTGTTTTCCCAAACTCAAACATATCACAATGTCTCTGAGGAGTATCTCCCACTTTCCCCATTTCCCTTTTATGCCATAAACAAACTCATTGCTTTAATTGGTTGGAACAAAAAAAAAACTCCCAGATTTTAAACTAACCCAGCAATTTCTCCCTCCAAAACATCTGCAATTGACAAGTAAGAACATTCGCAATCTGATAGTAACATGTTTAGAAACAATAGTGAAATCACAGCAATTAGTATTTGTATATTTTAACAGCTGATATTTTTTCAAGGAAGAATAACAGATGGACTCAGTAAGGAGATCTCAGTTTGAAAAATACTGTTAAATAATAAATCAAACTGTTTACTTTTACAGACATGTCATAACTGGTTGTATCCAGTGAAGAAAGATAATTACAGTACAGTATTTCAGAAGGCATAGTAGCAATATCAAGCATCAGATTTTGGGATTGATGCAAGTGAAGTAACTTTTAGTCCCTTAAATTGATTTTAAATATTTGGGAAAGGTTTCTTGAAGATGAGAAAGTAGTAGGAATATTAAGAAAAAGTGATGTTATAATTGTTAAGTTCATTACTTTAAAGGAAAATAAAACTGGGTGCAGTACATGTTTAGATTTTTTAAAGTGGATTTTAAAGTCTGTAAGTTAAATTGTTAGTAAAGCTAAAGGGAAAAGGACCTTAAGATTGATGGGAAAACATAATTACAAATAAGTCCAATGAGGTGGGGAAGGAAAACGACAGAAGAAATCAGACTATACAAAAAAAGTAAGTGAAAATCCGAAAATAAAAAGGACATTTATAAGAAATTCAGGGGGAAAAAATTATGAAGCAACAGAATGAACTGAAATTAACATACAGGGCTTCTTTTCACATAGTCAACTAAAAAGGGAAGAGAGTGAAAGTTTATAGATAATAAAGAAAAAAGAAAAACTATTCATCTTCTTCAACTCTCTCCAACAGTAGATTATGTGCTTCATCAAACAATTGTGAAGAGCAGGATTAATAAAAATGATCAGAGAATAACTATTTGCTTAGTAATATAACTGTTTACTTAGAGTTTAATTTCCAATATCAAATGAACTGCATCTAAATATAATGAAGAAATTATCCTCAGACAGTGAAGAAATTAACTGGTGCTACTATATTGTTATCGCTCAAATTCATTTATTAGTCTGGTAGACTGCCAGCTGACCAGAAGAGAACAAAAGTTGCCCTTATCTTTAGAAAGGAGAAAAAAGTAAATCTAAAACTGCAACTTGATAATTATACCCAAGATTGATTGATTGACTAATTGATTGTAATCTTTGGGGGTTGAAAGAGAAACATGGTTGTACAGATAGTTCTCAACATACAACAGTTTGTTTAGTGACCAAAGTTACAATAGCACTGAAAAAAGTAACTTATGACTGTTTTTCACACGACTGTTGCAGCATCCCCAAGATCAAGTGATTAAAATTCAGGTGCTTGGCGATTGGTTCAGATGTATGATACTTGCCATGTCCTGGGGTCATGTGATCACCTTTTGCAACCTTCTGACAAGCAAAGCTGTTGGGAAAGCCAGATTCACTTAATGATCATGTTTGCTAATTAAACAACTGCAGTGATTCACTTTAACAATGGTGGCAAGAAAGGTCATAAAATGGGCAAAATTCACTTAACAAATGTCTCACTTAGCAACAGATTTTTTTTTTGTGGTCAAAAGTCAAGAACTACCTATACAGTTCATTTGTAGAAGTAATTCTGAAGTCCCAGTTCGGAAGCACAAATGGAGGCATTGACAGTCCATTGCTGTAGTAATTGTAGATGTGATTCTGTGAGGCCACTCATGGTTTTCTATCAGGTTCTGGTGACTTTCTTCAAAGCTGGCAAAGTCTCATAGCAATAGCCCAGGGCCCACAGTGAGTTCTGTCAGCAGCTGCCTTAATTCCTTTGGCTGTATGTCACAGTGGTGTAGGGTTTCTTTCATAGTATCTTTGTAGTGCTTGTGGATCTAGTTTGTCATTATTATATTGTTTGTGATATTTCATTGTATATCATTTTAGGTGACTATGATGTAGACTCCAGAGAGTCAGTTGAGACTGGTGGTATACAAATTAAATAAATAAATATCTATCAAAGGGTAAACATATTCACATCCAAAATTATGCTTAACAAATTGATGAAGAACTTTTCCCTTGGTAACAGCTACAGAAATGCCTATAATACACTTCTAAAATAAGCTACAATTCCTAAACACATTCTGAAATACACATCATTCATGTGAGTCTAATTAACACTTCAGGCTGATTACAGGGTAATGCATGCATATTTTGGGAATTGCTAGTTTTCCTCCCCACGTTCTTTCTTCTTGGCATCATCACAATTTTATCTTGTCTTTCTTTTTCTCTCCATGCCACTTTAATGTATCTATGATTCAGTGCTGATGTTTTAATATTGAAATGTTCTCGGAAAGAAATGGGTTTTGGAAAAAGCACCCATTTTAATAGAAATGAATCATCCAGAAAAAAATAATGAGAGGATAGTGTATTAAAGGAAGGTTTAGTATTCATCATTAGTCTGTTGTAATTACTTTTATAGTATTTCTTATTGCATTTGTAAATAACACACATAAATACCATTCAGGCTATTGTTTGGTTATTTTTAAATGAAACTTTGATGCTTTTCTAGGCCTTGTG